GAGTAGAATTTCTTAGGAAAAGTATATGTATATAAGTATGTATTTATATATAAGTGTGTATGTATGTGTATATATGTATATTAATGCCTATATATAAATATATCCAATGTTCAACTGTAGCCTTAGGGTGGTGGGCAGGGGGGAGGAAGGGGGAAAAAAGAACAAAGTAAAAAGTGTACAGTAGGGAACAAAAGAAAACCTACAAGGAGGCAAAGAAAAGATGGACAGCTTTTAACATAATGAACAGTATTTAATATATGAGCTTTCTTGAAAAATTATTGCTATATAATTTGAATCCTCTCCTGTGTTCTGCTATGCACGATATTTTTTTTCTTATTTTATATTTAAGTTTACAATGTTTCTTTTTCTTTTCTTATATCTTTTCTTATATATCTTTTCTTATATATATTTAGCATTGTCTAAAAGAAAAAAAAAGAAAAAGAAAAGTAGAAAGACCGGCTTAGGAAAAACAACAACATTTTTTCACACTTAGAAAAATGAGTTAAACATAAATTAAGTCAACTACAACTCTTCCCTTGCCCCCCTCCTCTCCCTATACTTGAGAAAAATTGTGTGGACTAATTAACACATTTGCAAATACACAAAATCTCCATTAAGAGGAATGAGGCCTCAAACAGAATTTTGCCTTGGATGAGAAGGAACCACATAAAAGCAAGGATATTTTGAATGATCAGCTTCTGTGGTGTACCTCAAAGTCAGTATGGAATCAGCCAATTTTTTTTTAATACTTTCTGTGCCTCCACCTAGAGTTCTGTACAATGAAACTCATGTCCAAAATCATGCCCCTAAGGCACTGTGGTCAGATCCTCCATCTACAAAGAAAGGTTTAATTATCTTCATTACATATGACTGGTGTGACATTTTAGAAAAACTTTCTGCAAGAGTTGAGAACAAAAAAAGGCTTTCTGGTTATCCTTCCATTATCCATAAAATTAAATTATCCATTCCTTGGGGCTGACAGATAATTGAGGACTAAGTGTTTTGCCTTGAAAAAAGGCAAACTGTATAGCATGGAATCCTGGATAAACAACTCTTTAAGACTGACTCAAGTGAGAACCTGAAAAGACTTTAGCTTAGAAGGACCAAGGTCTCCCACTGCATCCTGGACCATCTCCAGTGGTCCTGATAGACATCTGGCCACTGGACCCAGAAGGCTCTGGAGGAGAAAATGAGGCTGGTGACTTTGCACAGCCCTCCCTCACTCAAATCAAACTCAATTGCAAGTCATGTCATCATCTCTCTGATGTCATGGTCCTCTTTGAGAATTAAAGGCAAACCACAATAAGTTTCAGAAAAGGTGTGTGTGCGAGAGATAGGTAGAGACAGACGGACAAATCAACAGAGACTGAGAGACAGAGAGACAGAAACAGACATGGAGTCACAGAGATAGAGATACATAAGGAGACTGAAACAGAGAGACATAGATACACAGAGGGAAACAGAGAAGGAGGGAAAAAGAGGGAGAAAGAGGAAAAGAGAAAGAAGGTGAGAGGGAGAAAAAGTGAGGGAGAATGAGACAGAGAAGGGAGATTTAGAGTTGGAAGCGACCACATAAGAGACCATATACTATCTGGTATAACCCCCTCATATTACAGATGAAGAAACTAAAATCCAGAGAGAAAATAATTTGCTTAAGGTTACCATCCCCCCCTCCTCCCATCTTACCTCCACCCCCAGCTTTTCAGCTCTCTTTGTTAGTCTTCTTACCCTAGTAGACTATAAACTCCTTGGGGGCAGGGCCTTTTTTGTATTTGTATCTCTGGTGTTTAGCACTGAGCTGGGCACATAGCAGGTGCTTAATAAATGTTTATTGACTATGACTATGACTGTAAATATGATTAAGTGGAGGAGATGGGATATGAACCAAATACCAGATAAATGAATAAATAAAATATTCATTAAGCACTTACTATGTGCAAAGCATAGTGCTGAGTGCTGGGGATATGAATAGAAAAGCTAGACTGTCTTTGCTGTCAAGGAGCTCATTCTAATGAGGAAGACAATGTATGAGAGGCTTTAGTTGCAAGTCAGATGGTTAAGTCCCATGGTCCCAAGGTGCAGTAATCAAGCAGAAGTTAGTTCCTCTTTTATGTCACTTCCACTTTTAAACTCATATTTGTTTCTAATATTGAACCAATGTCAAGGACTTTGGAGGCAAAAATTTTCTTTGCTGAGTCTTCAGTAGCTATGTCTGTAGAGCCTGCAGTGGCAATTGAGCTGTTTCTTTTTCTTTTTCAAATATATTTTTATTTATTCTGTTAAATATTTCCAAATTACATGTAAAAATGTTAACTTGTTAAATTTTTTGTTTTTTAATATTTTATTTCCTTCCAATTAAATGTAAATACAATTTTAAACATTCATTATTTATTTTTTTTTTAAGTTTTGAGTTCCAAATTCTATCCCTCCCTTCCTCCTGTCCCTGAGATGAAAAGTCATCTGATATGGGTTATACATGTGCAATCATGTAAAACATTTCCCATAGTAATCATTTTGTGGAAGAAAACTTGAGAAAGGAAGGAAAAAAAGGAAGAAAGAAAGAAAGAAGAAAGAAAGAAAGAAAGAAAGAAAGAAAGAAAGAAAGAAAGAAAGAAAGAAAGAAAGAAAGAAAGAAAGAAAGAAAGAAAGAAAGAGAAAGAGAGAAAAGAGAAAGAAAGAAAGAGAAAGAGAGAAAAAGAAAGGAAGGAAGGAAAGAAGAGAAAGGAAGAAAGGAAGGAAGAGAGAAAAGATAGTATGCTTTGATCTGTATTCAGTCACCAATAGTTCTTTCTCTGGAGGTGGATAGCATTCTTCCTGATTCCTTTGGGATTATCTTGGATCATTGTATTTCTGAGAATAGCTAAGTCATTCACAGTTGTCATCACACAATATTGCTGTTGATGTGTACAATGTTTTCCTGGTTCTACTCACTTCACTCTCTATCATTTCATGTAACTGTGTCTAGGTTTTTCTGAAGTCATCTTGCTCATCACTTCTTATAGACAATAATCTTCCATTATAATCATATGCCACAACTTGTTCAGTCATTCCCCAATTGATGGGCATCCCCCTCAATTTCCGATTCTTATTGTTATTTTTATTAAAAAGCATTTTTGAAAAAAATTCATTTAAAAATGTTGAATTCCAAATTCTGTCTCTTCCTCCTGTACCTGCCCCTCCCCTACCCCTTGAGAAGGCAAGCAATATGATATACATGTGAAGTCATATAAGACATATTTCCATAATAGTCATGTTGTAAAAACACACACACACACATACACAAACAAATAAAATTAAGTTTTAAAAAGTATACTTCAGTCTGTACTCAGTGTTTATCAGTTCTCTCTCTGAAAGTGGATAGCATTTTTCATCATGGGTCATTTGGAATTGTCTTGGATCATTGTCTTGATCACAGTAGCTAAGTCTTTTACAGTTGAACATCCTTGCAATATTGCTGTTACTGTGTACAATGTTCTCCTGGTTCTGTTCACTTCACTTTGCATCACTTCATATGAAGTCTCTCAAGTTTTTCTCAGACCGTGCTGCAGTTGAACTGTTTCCAGGCCACATCTCTACAGAAAATGTTTCTTTAGATGATGGCTGAGGACACTGGGCTAGAAACAATATTACTTTTGAGTTCAGGATTCTGGCCATTTTTCTTCAGATTCTTAGGGAAGATAGTGGTCAAAGTGGCTATGGCTTGACTTGCTTGGCACATTCTGCCTCCTGTCTCTTTTTCAACATGATTTACTGCTTCAGAAGGATAGTTTGCCTGAATTGTATGAGGCAATTGATTGAGAATTGGTGAGTATGGCTGCCCTTTCTCCAAAAGAATTGCTTTCCCAAATGATGGCTATGAGGGCTCTTGAAGCAGGCCTGCTGGTGGAGCAGAAGGTGTGCTCTGCTTCTGAGCCTATCTACCTATTGAAGGCAGTTGGTCAGACGTTATTGCTGGTAGTGGCAAAGAATTGGAAATTGAGAGGATGCCATCAATTGGGGAATGGCAGAGCAAGCTGTGGTATATGAATGTAATGGAATACTATTGTGCTATAAGAAATGATGAACAGGCTGACTTCAGAAAAACCTGGAAAGACTTGTGTGGTCTGATGCTAAGTGAAGTGAGCAGAACCAAGAGAACATTGTACACAATGACAGCCGTGTTGTGTGATAACTAATATTGATAAACTTAACCCTTCCTAGCAATACAAGGATCTAAGACATGTCCAGAGGCCTTGTGATGGAAAATGCTATCCACATCCAAAGAAAGAACTCTGGAAGTTGAATTGCTATTTTTTTTTTCTCTTCTGTTGAGTTTTGTTTTGTCTTTCTGATGGTTCCTCTTATTGGTTTTAATTTTTGCTTACAACATCACTAATGTGAAAATATGTTTAATAGGAATGTAAATGTAGAGCCTATATCAGATTGTGTGCCATCTTGGGGAGAGTGATGGGGAGGAAGGGGGAGAAAAATTTTAAACTCAAAAGCATATGGAAGTGATTTTTGATAAATCAAAATAAATTAATAAAAAAATTAAAAATTAAAAAAAGAGAAAAGGAGACAAAACAGATCCTTGAATGATACAAATTGTACCTCTGCTCTACCTTGCTGTGTGTGTAATAACTAAAGACTATTGTTCATTGCTGTCATGAACATTAGTGGTCCTTTCAACCCCTTTTAAACTAGAACAAGAGGGCTTGGGTTCATGGACAGATTTCAGGGTGAACTTGGATTGGAAAAATAAAACATTTAACCTCTACTGGAAAAAAAAAGAAGTTATTGCTGGTGGTGATGACAAAAATGGGCCCCCCTCCAAGATAATTTCTCCTTTCATTGATGAGACTGAGCTGAAAGCAGGCATGGTGATTTGGGGAACTATTCTCAAGGCTCTTGGTCTCAGGATCCTGGGCTGTCTTCCTCAGGGTCAGAGGTGAGATAATGATCAAGGTGATTGTGGTGGCTTGACTTACCTGGTGCTTGCTGTTTCCTCTCTCTCCTTCAAGGTGCCTTGCTGCTTCAGATCCAGGACTCATTCCACTATACCGTATCATCTCTCCCATAGTAAGGAGCCAGGACTGAGAAAGATGAGGTAAGACTGTGAATAAAGGATGGAGATGGACAAATAAGAAGCCAGAGTCAGAGAAGCTGTTAGTCAAGTTAGAGCTGGAGGCCTAGAATCAATGGTTATCCAGAGCATGGATAAGCATCAAGGGTAAGAGCAGGGTAATGGCTCAGAATCAGGGAAGCAAACCAAAAGTTAGGACCCAGGGAAATCTCTGATCAGGGCAAATGTTAGGACAGGAGCCAAATAGAAAGGAAACAGGCAAACAAAAATGATGAATATTGGTTAAAAGTTCAGGTAGACAACTGGAACTGTGAGATCCGTAAGAACAAAAACATAATAGAGGGGTTATCTTTACTTATTCTACGTGTAATGGGCTAGCCAATAAAGGCACAGTCCTAAGAACATGCACAAGACGCTGTGTGTGGAGAAAAAAAAATGCTGTGCCTGGCATTAAGTCATGTGAAAGACTGGAGACTGTGTCTCCAGAAATGCATGATATGTTGTGAGGGACCCCAGTTCAGAGTATGTGAAGATATTCCTTTTCATCATTTCTTGTCTTCTTTCTGCGTAGCAATAGAAAGCCTTTAACTTGACAGTTGAACTGGAACTGTGTGTGAATATAAAAGTCAGGAATAGATGAATATTTTTCCTAGGCACCTTTTGACAAAGGAGGAAGAAATTATGTAACTTTTCAGGTGGGGAAAGAGATAGCAAGAAGTACTTCTGGCTGCCTTATCCCCCAATTCAGGAGGCCATGTGACTGCAAACCTCTAGCCCCTCTATTTAGTCTGTCCTGTTGTGTTCATAATTTCCTGATCTTAGGTGAATAAGTATCAGAGATTGATATTGTGAGCTTTGAAAAGTTGGAAAAGTCACTGGAAGTCTGCCTTCTGGAATCTATAGTATAAGTGTTATAGCTGAAGCAGCTGAGCTAGGTGAGGCGTCAGACCTGAGAAGAGACCCATCTACTTCATCTGGCCCAGCAATGAATTGAACTTGCGATTAAGACACCATGTCTTGCAAGCAAGGAAGCAACTTCTGCACAGACTACATCACAACCAGAAGTGAATTTTAGGTGTGAGGGGGAGTAACTTTTAGCAGCTTTGCTCCTGCTTTAACCAATGGGTTTTTAGGAGTGAGTATGCTCCAATTTAGGAGGTATTTTGTACTTTTGTTCTTGCTGTATCTTCTTTCCACCATCATCTCCCTCAGTCTGCCCTTCCTTCTATTAGTCTTCTCCCTTTTCTTCTCCTTTATCCTTACTACTTCATTCCTTTTTATCCACTCCCTCCCTTTTTATTTCCCTTTACCCTACTACTTCCTATAGGGTAAATTAGATTTCTATACCTGATTATGTTATTCCCTCTTTGAACTGAATCTGATGAGAGTAAAGTTTAAACAATGCTCAACTCCCTACCTTCTTTCCCTCTACTGTAACAGGTTTTTGTACCTTTTCATGTAATGTAATTTACCCTTGTCTGCCTCTTCCTTTCCTTTTCTGCAGTACAATCTCTTAATTAGATCCACTTAATCCACTTAATTAGATTTTCTATCATTACACCAAAGTCAATTTATACCCACACCCTCTGTCTATATATACCCCCTTTAAATGGGGTATCAACAATACAATTCTCAAGAATTACAATGTCATCTTCGCTTGTAGGGATGTAAACAGTTTGCCCTTATTAATAACATTTGTTGTTTTTTTCTGTCCTGTTTACCCTTTTATGCCTCTCTTGTATTTGAAGATCAAATTTTCTGTTGCGCTCTAGTCTTTTCATCAAGAAGGTTTGGAAGTCCCCTATTTTCTTGAATATCCATCTCCTCCTTTGAAAGGTTATGCTCAACTTCACTGGGTAGTTGATTCTTGGTTGTAATCCAAGTTCCTTTGCCTTATGGAATATCATATTCCATGCCCTCTGATTTTTAATGTAGAAGCTGCAAGGTCCTATGTAATCCTGGCTGTGGTTCCATGATATTTAGATTGTTTCTTTCTGGCTGCTTGCAGTATTTTCTCTTTGACCTGGTAATTTTGGAATTTGGCTACAATATTCCTTGGCATTTTCAATTTGGGATCTCTTTCAAGAGGTGATCAATAGATTATTTCTATGACTATTTTACCCTACGGTTCTAGGGCAGTTTTCCTTGATGATTGTCTGAAAGATGCTGTCCATGCTCTTTTTTTTTTCATCATGGTTTTCCGGTAGACCAATAATTTTTAAATTGTCTCTCCTGGCTCTATTTTCCAGGTCAGTTGTTTTACCAATGAGGTATTTTACATTTTCTTCCATTTTTTCATTGTTTTGTTTTGTTTTGACTGATTCTCACTCTCTCATAGAGTCATTAGCTTCCACTTGCCCAATTCTAATTTTTAACAAATTGTTTTCTTCTATTAGATTTTGTATCTCCTTTTCCATTTGGCCCATTTTACTTTTTAAGTTCTTCTTTTAGTGAGTTTTTGTGCCTCGTTTTCCATTTGGCCAATTCTACTTTTTAAGGAGTTGTTTTCTTTTGTGTACTTTTCCCCCAGCTGGCCAATTGTATTTTTTAAGGACTTGTTTCCTACAGTTAATTTTTATCTTTCCTTTTCCAAGCTATTGATTCTCTCTTACACCTTATTTCTTTCCCCAATTTTTCTTCTACCTCTCTTATTTGACTTTTAAAATCCTTCTTGAGCTCTTCCAAGAAAGCTTTTTGGGCTTCAGACTAGTTCATATTCTCCTCTGAGGTTTTCTATGTGGGTACATTGACAATGTTGTCCTCTTCTGATTTTGTGCCTTGATCTTCCCTGTCCCCATAACAAGAATCTATGGTCATTGTCTGTTTCTGCTTTTTGCTCATAGTGTTTGATTATTTCCTGACTTTTAAAAAAAGTTGAGCCCTCCTGGTGGAGTTCAGGGAGCACTGATCCAAGCTTCTTATGTTGGGATCCTGGGACCTGGTCACTGGCTTTGTGTGCTGGGGCCTCAGATGCTGGCAATTGGAGGCTGTAGGGTTCTGGCAGGTTATCTGGTGCTGGGATGGGGTCAGCAACACTGGAGCTCTTGGGGTAGGGTGGGGAGTTGCTCCTGGAAGATGTTGACCTGGGCCTTGCACTCGAATGTTTGGCTCCTGCTCACCTGGGCCTTGCACTCAAATATTTGGCTGTTGGAGAATGTCTGTCAGTGTGGAGCTTTGCCTCTTGGAATTGTGCTTCCCAGAGGTGTGCTGAGGCACTGGGAGATTTGACTGCTGGAGAATGCCATCACATGTGGTGGTTTTCCAAGTTTGTGTCTACAGGTTCCCCTGCCTCTACTGAGGCACTTGGGGATTCTGGTGTTGGTGCTTGCCTGTTCCACAGCCCTGGGGCTCAGGATCTCCCCCTGGTATGCTGAGGTGGGGCTTCCTGTTGGCTTGCTGGGATGCCTCCCATTCTGTACTGCTCCCCCTCCCCCAGAGTGAGAGGGACCTTTGCCATTAATTCCCCAAACTTCCTGGGTTACAAGACTGTTGCACCACATCTTTCTGCTGGTTCAGCTGTTCAAGGGTTTTTCCTGGGGCAATATTTTCTGGACTTTCAGAGGTCAATAAGGGAGGATGAGAGTGACTTACTTCTTACTCTGCCATCTTGGCTTCCAGAAGTGGAAGTCTTCCTTGCTATATCTTCTCAATAAATAACTCTGAAAGCTAATTAACTCTAACTGACTAACTGATTTCAGCTGATAATCAATAGGAAAAGCAGTCTTGTTCTGAAGATTTAAATGTTAGTGTGAGTATGGTTGGAGAAAGTGACCTGGTGTGCAACATATACATTACATTTTTTAGTACCACAAACAATTCAATTCTACAGAAAAGGTAGAAAAGAGAATGGTGTAGATGGTTATTGGGTCAGAGGAGAAAGTGATGGGGGTGTGTGTGTGTATGTAAGCAATGTAAGCAAGCATATGTGCCTTCAAGAGCTAGAGGGAGGAGGAGTGGAACGTTTCAAGTCTGGCTAATACATAATAGACAGAGTGTCTGTTTATTGGAAGCTGTGCCACCTGGAGTAGTAAAATCACATATCCCAGATTTCACATACATTCAAACAGCACCACTTTAATCATTGCTAGCTGGTAGACCTGGGCAGAGAATGATTAAAACTACACATTGAAGCTCCAGCTTTGCCCCAGAAGGGCAAAGGGTCATTATAACGACTGATAGCAACTCATGTTTCAGGCAAACTAAAACCTGTTTGAAATGTCATCTTCAAATATGAAGGAATATGAATGTGTGTCTACTATGTTCATAATTATTTACTTAAAAAATACTTTGGTAATACTTTTCATCATGCTTTTAGGCAGCAAATTGTGGCACCGACAAGGAACCCCAAGCCATCCAGTTACTAAAGCAGTTGCACATTCCAAGTGAATTTATAGTTGTTATGGAAACTTCAAGTTAATAACTCACAGATTAAAGTGAATCCTTAATTTGGGCTGGGGTGGGGAGAATAGGGAGAAATTTTCATAGTTGAAATGTGCAGACTTGAGGTTGATCTTTAAGAGCATCACTAAATGTTTTTAAAATGTCAACGTTTCATGTCACCATTGCCTATTTATGACTTATGCAATATTTGTGCCAGAAGCTCTTATTATGTGAGTTACACTGAGGGGATTTTTCATTTCTTTCGGTCATAGCCCCCACTTGGAAAATCAGAGAAAATCAGTAACTGCCACTATTCAGTTTTTTGACACCATCACCCCTTGTAAGCACAAGATTCACCAAGTTAGAGAACGGAAATTTTGTTGGGGGAGGGAGGGGAAGAGACTTTCTAATGAACAGCCCTTTTCCAAAACTTTTCTAAGGTTCTCAATCATAATTTTGAATCGGCAGCTTTATTTTTCTGCAGCTCCCATCTGGTTTTTATCAGTCTTGGCTTTTCCGTTTGTTTTTCCTTGCTCCAAGAAGGTGTCGTCAGGCATTGTAACTACTCTGAATTTGTTTTTGCCCTCTATAGGTGTTACCCATGTGTTTCTGGTTGTAGTTCTACATATCTAGCAGCTGCTACC